AGGGTGGCACGGCACAGGTGCCACACTGGGACTGGCTCTGCGCAGCTCCCGCCGGCACTTGGGTAACAGTGCTGGGTTCCAGGGCAGAAGCACCTCATGGGGCTGCCCTGACTTGAGCACATGCTCGGCCTCCCTCTGCCGGAGCTCTGGTGGGCAGTCGTTGGGCAGGGAGGAGCGCCGCCACGTAGCGGGCAGAGGGGCGTGCACCAAGTCTCTGCTTTCCTCCTGGCACCTGGAGCTTTCTCCAGTGCAGGCAGGCTGTGAATCCACAAGAGCTGGGCCAGGTTCTTCACAGGTCAGAAGCAGGGTGGGAGCTCTGTCCCCAGCCCCGGGCAAGCTCCTTTCCAGTCCTGCAGGAGACAACAAGCATCAGGTCAAGACAGCCACCCCTCACTGCTGGACAACACAGGAACTTGGGGCACCTGTTATCTAGTGGAGTGAATGGGTCTGTAGCGTCTCCCCTGCTGCTTGTGTAAGCCTCAGCTACAGCAACAGCCTCTGGCAGGGGATGCTCCCTGCTCACCTTGCTGCTCCAGAAGCAATTTAAACCAGGGGTGTTCAGTGCCCAGCCCACAGTCCTGTGTCATCCAGCCTGTTGGGCTCCCCACAGATCTGGAAATTTGAGGCAGGAGAGCAACGGCACAGCTCCCTCACAGCTAAATGTCCAGACCCTTAAGGAACTCCACACAGCTGTGCACTGGATCCAGCATCTGATCCCAGTGTGCACAGCTAGGTGGAGGCAGCACCAGGCCCCAGGCCCAAATCCTAACTGGGGGGGAGGCGGGGTGTTGATGGGAAAGGGTGCCCCCTAGGACCCAAACTTGGTAGAACAGGGTAGTGCCAGGACCCCAGGGACCAATCCTGGCATGTTGGGGGGCAGGAGGGGTGGGCTAGGCCCCCAGGGACCAGTCCCAGCACATAGGGGCCACTGGAGGTGATGCCAGGCCCCAGAGCCTGGCCTGGGGGCTCTGGCACATGGACCACTCCACCCCACAGGGCCAAAAGGTTGAGCATCACTCGTTTAGACTCCTCTGCTCATACAAATGCATGTGAAAGTGCTGCTAACCCTGCCAATGGCAACTGCAGCCTCCCTTACCTTGGGCTTGCCCACCCAGGTGGCTCAGACCACTCAGCCTCTGGTTCAGCTCCTGGTTTGCCCACATGTAACAGTTCAGTTCCTTCTCCAGCGTTTGGATCCTTGCCTCATACTGGAGCTTACTGCTGGCCAGCCCCTCATCCAGGTGCTCTACAAAGAGAAGGTGCAAGGCTGGCTTTGAAAAAGCTGCTGTAATTACCCTGTGAAGGGACGGGGGGGCAAGAGGGTTGGCTCAGGCACGGCTGTCAGGGAGCCCGTAGGCTGGAGGGAGCAGAGGAGGTGGCTGGGACTCACCGCGGCTCTGCTGGAGCAGGAGCTGGATGTTCTGCTCATGCTCCTTCTGCTGCAGGGTGAGCTGGCGATCCATCTCCAGGCGCTGGCGCTCCACCGCCACCTCCAGCCACGACACCAGCTGCTGCTGCTCCTCCAGCTGCATCTCCAGCTCCGAGAAGGCAATATGCTGCCTGTGCTGGTCCTCTCGCAGTGTCACCACCTGCCCAGGGCCCCAGAGCAAGCCACCAGTCAGACCTTCCTTGGGTTTGGCAACCTCCTTCCCCATGTCCAGCAACTGACCAAGGCCATTTCATGGTGTAGGAAGGACAGGAACTTTGAGGGAGCCCTGTCCCTCACAGAGCAGCAGTTGCCTCAGCAGCAAGCAGGGCACTGCATGAACTGCCACTGCAGACAGCTGGGGAGCCAGGCCCTGGTTGAGACCCAGGGACCCATGAGAGGACCCAGCATTTCTGCCCCGCTGAAGGTGTTTGCAGAACTGCTGAGTCTGTAGCATGGAAGCTTTCCAAGGGGAAGCGAAGTGTCAAGGGGAGGAAGGGGGGAGCTCCCAATGGCAGGCCAGGGGCTGGAGCTGAGGCAGGGCATGCAGCTGGCTCCCACCTTATCAAAGTACTTGCAGAGCAGTGCCCGCGTCTCGGAAGAGGACAGGTAACTGAGCTTGGCCATGAGATTCATCTCACACTGGGACAGCAGGCTGGCCGAGGCCCGCAACACCCGCTGCCGGCACGTGATCGACTCGTTCTTGTACTCAATGGCCGCATCCAGTGCCTCAATGGCCTCATCCAGCTGGAACAAGATCCGTTCCTCCTGCCACCCAGGAGTGGAGAAAGGAAGGCAGCTGCTGTCACTGTGGATTACAGTGGGGCAGCACCTCTCACCCAGTAGGAGAATCAGGGATGGGAGGGGCAAACTATACCCAGGTCCCAGCCTTGTGACGCCCCTCCCATCTATTCTGCTCCTGCCCCAAATGCACACTGCTCTTGTCCAAGCTGCAGTAGCTTCCATCTGTGCCGGACAGGGCCCAGCAGAGTCCGTTTCCCTGGGACCACAAGGAGCTAGTGTACAGGGTGGGAAGGGCAGGGGCAGCAGCCCTGGCCAGCCCCTCCCCACAGCAGCAGGGTACCTCTGGGGACAGCAGGGTGCCCTGGCGCAGCTTGTTGTCGATCTCCAGCCTCTGCTTAAGCAGTTGGTCCTTCTCCTGACGCAGGTTGTTGATCTCTTGACGGATCTGCTGCTGGTCGTGGGCACTGCCACGGCGGAGCTGCCCATTCTTTTCCATCAGCTCCTTCTCCAGGTACTCCAGGCGGCTGGACATGCGCTCAATGTCATCAGTCAGGGCCTGGGGCAGCAGGAGGAACAGGACCGCCAATGAGCATCTTGTCCTGGGAAATCCAGGCCTTCCACTGCCCTCCCTCCACTTCACCTGCCCAAGCCAAGGACAATCCAATCCAAGTCACCATGAAACCCCTGTGAGGAAAGGTGTCCAAGACAGCTCACTGAGGAGGCTGAGGGAGCTCAGGTCAGGGCACCTCCTGTAGCCTGCCAAGCACCTTGCCCTCCAGCCAACTCAAGTTCAGGTGCCAAGGGGCAGGACATTGGAGCAACCCCCAGCTGCCCACCTGGCTAGAGCGGAGTCTCTTGCTCTCCAGGCCATTCTTCTCCTGCAGCAATGCTTCCTTTTTGGCTACGATGGCTTCCCGTTTCCTCAGCTCATCCTCCAGCTCATCCAAGGCATGACGCTGCTCCAGGACTTTGTCCATCTCCATGTCCAACCACTTCTTCTGTTCTTCAATTTTCTGATGGAAGGGAAGGGAAACACAGGGGAGAGTTACACACAGCTGCATCAGTGACTGGGAGCTGGGGTCAGGTCAGGGGGAAGAGGCTTCTACTGGCTGATGTGGGTCCTATTATTGGAGATTTGAGTACATCTGCCTGCCAGACGTACCCTCGTGGCCCCAGGAGGGAGGCAGGCTGGCAATCTCCACCTTTCAGTAGCAGCCTGGGGCACAGGGAGTCAGGCTGAGCAGGAAACAGCACGCCGACCCCTGGAGAAGCAGGCGACTGCTCTGCCTAGTGGCCAGCCTCTCTCATCCACCTGCCCCAGCTCTGGCAGATGGGGTTCCACTCCCACAACTTCATGCCTCATTCACCAGGAGTCTCATGGGGTTGGGAGGATCCCAGCAAGGGCAGGCTGGGACTGTGGGGTATCAGCAGCATGTGGGACTGTCTCCCAAGGCACAGAGAGAGTGCTGGGGCAAAGGTTGAGCTTCTCCTGCCCAGCAGGGAGATTTCAGGACACCTGCTCCCAGTGGGCCCAGGGACTCCATGCCTTTGCTGATGCCACGTGGTCAGGCTGGGAGGGTGTGGGGCTCCCAGCCCCTCACCTGCTGCTGCTCCAGGCTGATGACAGAGCCGTTGCTGCCACTGCGGCGCTTCCTCTGGAAAGCGGCAATCTCCTCAGTCTTGATACGCAGGATCTTCTGATGCTGCTCGTGCTTCAGCTCCAGCTCCTGCGGGGTGGCGGGGGGGGAGGAAGCAGCGGGGTGTTGGAAGAGCACAGGAAGGGGCTGATCCAAAGCCAGGGGCAGAGGAACAGATTTGAACTCCTTGGGACCTCACTCACCAATCAACCTAACTGGCTTCCCCAGGTGCTGCAGTACAGTCTGCCACAGCCTGCTGCTGCCTGGGACACAGAGCCCTTTCCCTCACTCCACAATCCCACCAGAGTTACCGCAGTTCCTGGTTGGCATGTGAGGCTAGGAGCTCCCCACAATACCCAAAGCAGCTTCCCCCACCCTCCAGCTGGGCCCCCAGCCTGGTGCCAGCAAGCAAGCCTGAGACTCACCTTGACCCGGTGCTGCCGCTTGTGCACCTCAGTCTCCAGGCGCCGCTTCTGGTCTGTCTCTTCCCGCAGCCGCCGTTGGAGCTGCCCCTGCTGCCGCCGCATCAGCTGGATGTTCCTCTCCAGCTCCTGCACCCGCTTCTCATTCTGAGCCGACAGCGACACTAGCCTCTCTGTCACCTGCTGCTTTTCACGCAGGACCTGCCACAGGATGACTGCACTTAGCCTTGGCGGAGTACCCCCCATCCTGCTCCTTAGAGGAGGCAGCCCTCAGCTTTCCTCTCACCCCAAGGGCCACAGCCCAGGACAGGCAGGCCAAAGCCCCTAGAGGCCAGCGCTGACCAACCCTGCTCACACTGACCTGTGCCTTGCTCTGTGCAGCTGCCACCCTTGTGCGGTACTCCTGCAGCTGGCGCTTTTCCCCAGCATCCTGCAGCTCCTTGCCCTCCAGCTCCTGCAGCTGCTTCTGGCTGTGGCTCAGCTCAGCTCGCACCTGCTCTGCCTCCTGCTCCAGCTCACTGATTTTCTGGCAATATTGCTTGTTCATGGCCTGGGCATCCTTGCCTGGAATGCACGTGTAAGCATCTGCCCCACTGCCCCCCAGCCCGGTTCCCAGCCATCCTCCCAAACCAACCAGAGGCTCTAGGCACCTGCCAGACAACCTGGAGTAGCAGTGGTAGCAATATGGCACAGGACCTTTGCCAGTACCACTTGCAGGGGGTACAAGCTAGCTCCAATGACAAGGAGCTATTTCCTTTTGATGGGGTTCAGCTGTTCAATAACAGCCACACAACGCAGGGCTGGGAGGGGACTCGCCCTAGCTCTGCCCCACCCACCTCCTACAAGAGTCAGCTATGCCCCTAACTTGCCCCCCTCTGGCCTTCCTTCCTAGTCACCCTAGTAGCTGCAGCGGCTGGGGCTGATTGCTAAGCCACAGCCCTTCTTCCATTAGACAAGGCATAGGGGGCAGGCACACACAGGGAGGGAAGGGGAGCCATGGAAGGAAGTCCACCCCAACCTCGCTGGGGAAAGCTCTTCTTGTGGCTGCAAGCCCCCATCCTGTCCCCACTGCGCACCTGTCTTGATGAGCTCTGTAATCAACTCCTCCTTCATGCGGATGTTTATTGCCAGGTCCCGGATTTTCTGCTGTGCTCGCACCAGTCGCCATTCCGAGTCCTTTGTTGACAGGCCACCCCATGGACCAGATGGCTCCCTCCTCCCGCAGGCCCCTGCCACATAGAGCAAGATGCCCTGAGACCCCACCCAGCAGGTGCCCAATCCCTATGGACACAGGCCAGCCCACCAGCAAAGCTGGCAGAACACAGCCCCTGTTGCCCTCACCTAGGAAGCACACGTGCAGCTCTGGAGGCCTTCAGATCCCAGCATGCAGTGCTCTATCTAAATGAAAGCAGCCAGGCCACAAACTCTAGTAGTCCTGAGAGCCCCCAGGTGCTAGGCTGCACTGGGCATTCAGGGTGCCCCTGCACTGCCTTTCTTCTGCAGTTAGAGCACTTGGAGATGCTTCTCGCTACTGTCCCCAGCACTGCCTGCCAATCCCTCAGGGAAACAATGTCCACTTACCCTTGGGCAGCTCGAGGGGCTCCTCCTGGCCAGGTGGGAGTTTGCCTCTGCTCTGCTCCTCAATCCCCTTGCTGCAAACCTCCTTTTTGCTCCAGCTGTGGATCCCATTTCTAGAAGAGCAGCAAATAGCTCCATTTAGCTGGGCCCAGGCTTAGCCAGGACCAAAGGAAGGTAAGGCCTGCTCCAAACCTGCCATGTAGCACCAGGTGAAGAGAGAGGGATGCCAGGATGCCCACCCGCAGGCCATCAGGCAGGGACGCTAAGTGAGAGTGGGGTTCAGGAGATGGCAGGACTGTGGCTGGGGCTACGAGAGAAGGGGCAGGCTCACATCCCAGTCAGCACATTTCCCCTTGGGCGGGCACCCACAGTAGGTGGCAGCCTCAGCAGATAGGCCAAAGGCTCTACAGCCCCAGAGACATAGCTCCCTTCAGTTCTCTCCTGATCAGGCTGAGACATAGAGATGGAAAGCAAACCCTGTCACTCTGCTGGGCCCCATCAGGGAAGGGTCAGGCTCTGGGGCCCTCAGGCCACCACCTCTGCCCTCCACTAGTACCAGCCTCTGCAATTATTATGGACAAGACTCTGGACTGCGGTGCAGGCATTACAAAGGCGCTGTCATGTCCTGATTCTTCCTGCTTCGTCTCTTTGGGTTTTAGAAGCACCTCTCAGGTGCAGAGGATATGCAGTTCTCCCAGTCAAAGCCAGCCCGATTCCTGTAGCTCTGTTAAGGAACAGCCATTCTGGGCAGTGGCCAGATGGGCCTTTGTCCTGGAAAAGATCTGGCAGGGCCTGGCAATGGCCTGGCATGAGCAGCTACATCTCACCTACGCTGGTGCAGAGATGGTTTGGGCTCCCCCTCTTCCTCCTCTCCTGAGGACGGCTCTGCTGGCCTCTCCAAATCCTTGCTGAGCGGCTGTATCAGCACCACATCTTTGGCCTCCAGGCCATAGGCCAAACCCTGAGCACAGTTTTGAGAAGACACCACCAGGCCCTTGCCATCATCAGACAGGCTGCTGCTAAGCTGCCCGGGGCAGAGAGATTGGGGAAAGGAAAGTGTTAGTGCATAGGGACAGACGCACACCACCCAGGCTGCAGAGTTCTGCAGAAGCACTTCAGTCAGCCTGCTCCCTCTGCTAGATATGAAGGCAACATGGAGCTGAAAGACTTTACAAGCAGAGCTAGTGAGGTCCTGGACCCAGGCAGCTGATCTCAGGTGTGCTGCTGCCTGAGCTCAGATCAAAGCCTGAGTGCTCAGCCTAAAACCTGGTTTTCCCACATCTCTCATGCCAGAGAAGGCAGCCTTAGAGCCAAGGACTGGTTTCACTGTGGAGCTGCTTCCCCACTCAGGAGCAGCAGGAGGGACTGGGCTACAGGTCCTAACATGGTGAGAACTACGCAGATCCCAAGAGCAGAAGTCTGGTACCTGGGATAACTGATGCACTTACCTTTCTGCAATGAACCCTTCCACTCTGGTTGGCAAAGGAGGGCCTGGATGGCACCATACTGAGGCTGTGGTACTGCCCAGCATCCAGTGGGGGGGCTGTGTGGGGTCTCTGCATGATTCCCACCAGGTGAACATCCTGCAGGAGCTCTGGCATGCAGGTGGGTGCCACCATCTCCAGGCGCAGGCGGAGCTCGAAGATCTTGTCCTGCTGCTCCTGCAACTTGTCACTCTGGAAATGGAGGAAGAAGATTGTTTCCCACGCATGCACTCTAGGCCTCCCACTAGCTCAGGAACCAACAGGCCATGCTCTTTCCCCCACTCCACCCCAGCATCCAGATGGGGATGGCACAGGAACAGCAGGGAACTCTGTCTGTGTATCTGGACACTAAAACAATCACAAAGGAGAAGCCCAACTCAGAAGGAGAAGCATGGGGCAAGCAGTGCTTCAGATCAAAAACCCCAAATGGGCTTGGTCTGTGTGCAGAGTAAAGGTGCAATGGTGGCAAAGGGAGCAAGAGGCCCTGGGAACCCAGGGAAGGCAAAGAATGGGGTTGGCTTGCACCAAGAGGGATTGGATGGGAAAAGGAACTTTGCATGGGTGTAGGCCAAGGCTACATACCTGCAGCTTGTACTGCTCCATGGCATCCTCCAGGGCAGCCAGGAAGTCCCGGTTCTCCTCCTCCAGCCTCTCCACTTGCCTCTGCAACCTGACCACATGCTCCTCCTTGCCCAATTCACACCCATTCTCTAGGCTCACCTGGCCCCAGGGAGGGAAGAAAGAAACTGCATCAGGATCCCCAAAGCTGGGGCACACACCCTGCCACACACCCTGACTTCTTTAGCAGGAAAAACTAAAGAAACTGATCCCAAACTCATGGCTTCCCGGCCTGCAAGATAATGGTGTTCTGCCCCAGCAGGAGCCAGGACTCCCCAGCCAGTCCTACCCCATCTCTTGCACTATGAACGACATGTGCCCCCAGAGGCTGAGGGGGCACAGAAATCACCTGCAGGTGGCAGCAGTGAACTCCCGCAGGCAGCCATGGCAGTGTTGGCAGCAGGGAGCTCCTGCAGGTAGCCACCGGGGTGTCAGCGGCAGGAAGTGGTGGGGGGTGGGGGTGGTGAGCACCAACCCATGGTCAGCGATCACCTGCAGACACCACTGGCAGTGTTGGTGGTGGTCACTGGCGATTGGCAACTGCCCGCAGACACCACTGGTGGTGTCGGTGGCGGAGGGGCAATGTGGCAAATGACAACCACCCACAAGCGCCACCAGCAGTGTTGGCGGCGTTTTTCTCAGGGGGTGCACGGCCAATCTCAGGGGGTGCACGTGCACCCCCTATGCATCGCCATCGTCTTGCACTGAGGACCTGTGCAGAAGTTGCTCTCCACCCCATAGACAACTGATTCTCAGTGCTTGGTCATGTGAGCTTCATGTGTCCCCTACTTCTGAGGGACTCAGAGGCTCGAGGACGATGCTCGTGAGGTGCTTTGTGTTCCTTGGCTAAGAGGGCCTCTGCACTGTTAGTACAGTACCCCCAAGAGCTAGCAGGGTTAGAAAATGGCTGTCAGGCAGCAGCAGGGCCTCAGCCTCCCCACCCCACAATCCATATGGCAGCCAAGTTGTACGGGGCATAAGGAGGAGCATGCATCTTCTGACATACCACAGCCCCTCCCCAGAGTACCACACACCCTGGGAGGGAGAGCAAAGCCACAACACTCATCCTTTTACTGATGCAGAGGAGAGCTCATCTGCCTGGGGATATCACTTGGCAGCAGTTCCTCCATGTTCTCCCTGCATGCACTCCTTGTGTATGCTAACTGGCTGCCCCTTCACCCTCCAAACTAAGTGCCCATGGTGGGGGAAGGGGGGAAGCAGCCTGTGTTCCATAGGTTTGCCCCTTTCTCACCATGCACAAGCCCAAAGGGTCTTGTCCAGGACCACAGGAATTTGAGCTTGGATCTTCCAGGGTGGTGCCCTCACTGATGTCCTGTGCCTTTACAGGCTCCACACACCTCTACATGTGCTCAAACCTGGGACAATCTGCTCTCAATCTCCATCTCCAATGCTAACAGTGTTTCCTCTGCTTCTCTAACCAGGTGCCTCCAAGGGCTCGGTTCTGACAAACATCACCTCCTGTAGCTAGGTCTACCTGGTAGTTTCCCCAGCACTCCCTGGCAATCAGCAAACCACACCAGAGGCCCATGGTCATACTACCCCATGCTCAAACAAGGCCGACACCCTGTACCTGGACCTTTGCTGGCTTTGAGCCCTGTGCCTTGGGGCTTCGGTCCTCTGCTGAAGTGCTCTCAATGCCGCTATCCAGGCCAGCCGAGGTCAACTCGCTCCTCTCGCTCTCCACCGCACACAGCCACTCCTTCACCCGTAGGACCTGCTCCACTGTGAGGTTGCCCTCTTCCTGCAGCTCCATCAGGAGCCGGTAGGCAGCATCAGTGCAGGTCCGGTAGTGAGCGCACTCGGCCAGCACACGGGCCATGTGGTCCTGGGAGCCCTGCTTGGCTGTATCCGAGCGGTTTATGATGCGGGTCTCAGAGCGGTGCCGCTGTTCCAGTGCCTTCTGCAGGCTCTTGATCTGCAGCTGCAGCTCCTCCACATGCTCAGTCTCCTTGCGGCAGTTCACCACGGCCTTGTTCTGGATGTTCTGGGCACGGCTGGCATAATTCAGTGTATTGAGGGTCTCATCAAAGTCAGAGGAGGAAGGACTGATGCAGGCAATCATGACAGTGTGGGCATTGCCTCCAAGGGAGTCTTTCAGGATCCTGAGGAGAAGAGTTGAGAAGGAAAATCAGAGAAAAATGCCACAGCCCACCATCTTGTAGACCCACAGGGGCTGGGGCAAGGTTTTGCCAGCACTACCCCTCCTGAAACCCAAGAACTGCAAAATGCTTCCCTCATATTCTATCTAGACCTGGTGAAAGGGGTTAGGATAGCAGCCCTGAGGGAGGGAACAGCCTGCAACACTGCTGACTTCTCCCTTAATAGTCCCTTAGTACTGACTGGAGACGCCACCACCGGGAGTAAGCAGGAATTCAGATTCTGGAGACATTGGCTGAGGATGACAATAAAGGAGTCAGTTCTAGGTCCAAATATGGACACATCTTTGCTGGGAACTAGACTGAAACGACCTTATTTCATACAAGCGCCCATGCAGATGTCTGATGGCAGCATCTTCAGGTCACTGCTAATCAGGAATGGGCAGGAAATTCTTCAGGAGCTCCTAATCCTTTAAGCAAGAGCAGCATGGGTCACCCCCATGTGATGCATTACAATGGAAAAGCTTTGGAACAAGTTGGATTTTCAGTCTTTCCTTGGCTCTGTTTCACGCTCAAGACTGGCATGCCTGGGAGATGCATGGTCTTTCAAAGAGACGTTCCACTGATGCCTTCAGAACCAAGCACACAGTCTGAAAGCCTCAAAGAACGACCACTGTGGGCAAGTCCCAGCAAATTCAACTCGTGCAAGCAAAGGGCTTCTGACACCAAACCTGACTGACCAAGCTAGCCCTTTCCTTCAGCATGCTGGGAAGGGATAAGGAGGCCAAAGGGCCCCGCTGCAGGACTGAACGTGCACAGGAGATGAGGCTATATGAGCAGCCCAGGGGCCTTGTGGTACCTGGTAATTTTGGAATCCCGGTAGGGGATGTGGCTACACTTCCGGCGGGGGTCTCCCAAGGCACTAATCACATTCCCCAGGGCCAGCAACCCACTGTTGATCTGGATGCTCTCCTTCAGCCTCTCTCCCGTGTTTCCAGTCTTCACAACCCGCTCTGAACCCGCTAGGTCTACAAAGTGGAATTTGGAGACCAGAACTTGGCCTGAGGCCAGGCCCACGGAGCAGTTATGGAGGGCGAGGCGGCCGGCACCCCGCCGCTGTTCCATGGTCACTGTGAAGATGGTGTGCGAACGGCTTGACTGCATGTTGATGTGGGTGGCTCCCGTGTGCTTGGCCGTGTTCCCCATTTCCAGCAGGCTCAGGACCTCATCCAGCCCCTCCACTTCTGTCTCTTTCACTCCAGACAGCACTGCAACAAGACAAGAAGAGTAGCAGGAACAGTCTGCATTGGTGCCAAGGAAATCTGCACAAAGGGACAGTCGGGACATCAGCACTGGAAGGGCATCTAGGTCATGCTCAGAGAACACCCTAAGGGAAATCTGTCCCCTGCGTATAGGATTTCCCCTTGGTTATTTGGGTACGTGGTTACTGTTGTGAGGCATACACAGCTGTGCTATCGTGAAGGATACACAAGCTCAGTCACAAGTACATAACCAGCATTGGCTCATTGAGGGAAACAAATCCCTCCTTCCTATCAATGTAACAGCATGGACCGCACACAGACAGATAAAGCCAAGCAGAGCTACCATCAGAAATGGCCCTAGAACTGAAAAATGAGTCCAGACCCCACTCAAGCTCTCTAGAAGAGCAAGGCCTCTACAGCATCATTTGGCTGAACTTCCTGGGTCCCAGACATGCTGAAGAAAGAGGAGTCATAGGCTTCAAGTGTTGCTGAGAACTGAGGCCAGAGGGTGTCCTTTCTGTCCCTTCCCATGCTGTGCCATGCTACAGAAACACAGAGCTTTCAAAGGGGATGGACCAGTAGTGAGGCAGCAGAAAAATTCTTACCTAAGGCCCATCTCTCTTCTGGCCTAGCAATGCCCAATACCCCTTGAAGGGTATGACAAGCCAGAATGAAGATGCAACTCAGAACAACCCCTACCCCTATGGAGGTCAGCCCAAGGCTGCTTTGGGTTTATTGACTACAATTACTTTCCTTGTTAAAGTGCCTAAACTCAAGTCTCCCATTAAGTTAGAGTAAGGAGGCAGGCCAGTTGTGTAGCCAACAGCACAGAGTGGCATATGGGCGCAGGGTTACTGTTAGGAGGTCAGGTCCCTGTGCAGCTCTGGCAGGACTAATGGAGAGCTAAAAAAAGCCTTTGCCTTCAGCGACAAAGCAAAGCCTGCTAGCAGCCAAAATCAGTTCCAGAGATGGTCCTTGTTACAGTGTCAGAAGCTGAAGGAGAAGCAGCACCTTGCACTACTTTGCAGGGGTAAGCATCCAGCTCCGGCCATGGAAGGTACTGCAGGAGGAAGTCTTAGAGCAGCTGCACATACCAATGTTCCCTTTGTCATCCTCACGGATTTGAATGTCCTTGCTGGCCGTATCCACTTGCAGCAGATCCCGGAAGTCTTCTTTATACACCTCCAGGTAGGACACTCTGACCGTGTAGTCAATCAGGTCATTCTCGTCAATGAGTTTGAAGGCCTCAGCCATGGCACGAGGGATGATGCCCTGCTCATCCTCATTGACAGAAGCTGGCAGGGAGAGATGTATGCAGTTATCAGATGCAAGGGAAGCTTAAAACATCAATTCAAGGGTGGGCCCTAGCCACAAAGCAGGAGCCAGTTTTCAGAGCACATTTCACACCGTGACATAGCTCAGTAGGGATTAAAGATCCTTAGGGGTGTTTTCTTATAATAGTTTGCTTGAAGGTGCTTGCCAGGAGTCCCCTCATCCCACTACTGCTTCCCTGTTACCCTCTATCCCAGACGTGTTGCATTACAGTCACACAAACATAGGACTGCAAGGGGCTTCAGTTCATCCTATCCAATTCCCTGCATTCACAGGCACCTATTATCCAAAGGGACCTAAAAGTCATCCACTCCACACCCCCGATCCTGCCCCATAAACCTCAAATCGCAATATGAAAATCAAACCAGAAACCCCTAATCTGTGCTACAGGTAAAAAGCAAGGAAGCAAAGGACACTGCCCATGCCCTGCCACTGCATAGAGCTTGTCAAGTGCTTCTTGAAGAGGAAACTACATCTTCACATCAGTGGGTAACAAAGAGTACGGAAAGGCTGCAACATGCCTTCTTTTGAGCCCAGCAGAGCTCAGAACTGTCTCCACGCACACACAGCTATTTTGGGGTAAGAATGTCCTGACCTGGCCTCAGCATTCTTGAATATGAATTTCAAATGGCCCCTTTTTTTACTCTAATAAGCCAGGCCTATCTGAAATGAGCTTCATGCTGGGCACAGAGATAGCCCTAAGAGGGGTTGGGGGAAGGAATCAAGATGCATCTAAAATACAAAACTGTTTTTATATTCTCAAAGTTAGTTTTGTTTTGCATGTGCACAGTGTATTTTAAGAGGTCTTGAGGGTCAAAAAAACCCAACCAGTCCCTCATTGCCAAAGCATTTCTAGGCAGAGGAAAAAGGAAACACTTCTTCCCAAACAATAATATTAACAAACCAGACAAACAAGAAAGAACATCAATGACAAACTCCCTGTGTTAGGGCTGATGGAGAAGTAAAGCAAGCAGGGCTCAGACATGCCAAAGGAGAGGCATGTCTCAGAAAACCATCCTGAACGCCGCCACACCAAACACAATCTCCTTGCCTGCTTTTTGCAAGATAACAGAGAGGTCTGCGCAGTTCATGCATTGCTCAAGCAGTTATTTGCCCCAGACAAGCAAACTGTCCTGTAAAGCCTGGATCAGGTTCCTTCAGTGGTGTTAGTTCAGCAATGCAGGAAACCCTATGCATGGGCGAGCACCTGATTGTGCTGCAAAACCCTCTGCAGGGCACCAGAAACAGATGTTTCTCTGGGACAGCTCAGATGGAGAAGCTGCAGCTCTGAGAAGGGAGTTGGACTAGATTTCTCACGGTCCCTTCCAGCCCTGCTTTCACGTGCACTGGGTACAAAACGGCCACAACACAGAGGCTGAGTCCCCCCAGGTTTCCCCACCACCCCGCTGCGTTTCGCAGCCCTGCTGGTGCACCATCCCCGACTCCTGACACTCCCATTCACCCAGCAAGACTGCAGGTTTCAGACACCCTCAGCCGCACGACCTCTTCCCTGCAAAGCCCCGCTGCTCCCATCCCCGACACGTCCCCTTCACCAGTGTCACCATGTGGCGACACCTTCGCTCACCACGCTCTGCCACCAGTAGGGACGTGCGGGCCAGTCCCCCCGGGGAAAGCATCACTGATGCCAGCTTGGAAACCCCCGTGCTCCATCGGGGAGTCTGAACCATTTGTCCCAAGGGGGGTGGGAGTGCTTGGCACCAGCTGCTGGCAGGGGAAGAGGAGCTTGGGCGCACAAGTGCCTGGGGAGGGTGGGCAGGGGGATGGCAGGGCCCTGGGAGGGCAGACAGCGCGCACAAGTGCCTGGGGAGGG